GCCCCAGATGGGAATGTTTCTCCCTCAGAGGCCCTTCTGGCCACCTGTCTTCTCGGCGGCTGGGAGCTGAGCGGACGGACACCCTCTCCCGTCCCATGGCAAGCCCCGCACAGCATATAGTCCTGGACATGACCGAGCTTCGAGTCACGGGGGGTGGGGGGGACCTGCTGTCTTTGGCAAATCTGGAGCATTTTCCGACTACTTTCAAAATGACTTCAATCTGATAACGACCGCTATGACGGTTGATAACTGAGTCCATACTCTTCGAGGGACCAAGGTGGAACAGCACTGGGAAGCTACAGGAAACAGTCCCCTATGTACTAAAATGCCTTCGTGGGCACAGTTAGTCACTTTCCATCACGGTCTACGTGCGGAAGCTGTGACCCCTCCCATGGGCCACTCACAACTTGTCCTTCCGAGGGTGGGGCACCGGCACAGCCAAGCACATGCACCAGCAGCCAAGGTCACCGGCAACGGTACAGGTGGTACCAATCTATGGACCCCGGCGAGGACCATCCAAAGGCGCTAAGGGAGACAGACATCTCTGCTTCCTGACAGACGCGTGCTCTACCGCCTATGAGGCAGCTCTGGCAAAAAAACCATCAAACCCGAGTTGGATCAAATCTCTGGTCCCACAATCAATTTACAGTAAGTGGACACCATGGGAACCCAGTCCGCGAACGCAGGCTGTGGGAACCGCATGGGACATATGAATCCGTCTCTTCAGAGAGGGAAAAAAGAGATGGATGGAGCCTACGGATGACAAGAGATGTGAATGACACCAGCCAAGCATGCTGTCTGAACCTGATTTAGTTCCTGATCCAAATAAACACTCTCTGAGAAAAGAAATTCATGAGACAGCAAGGGAAATGCATACAGTGACTGGAAGTTTGATGACAGTAAGAAATGATTATTAATTTTTAAGGTGTCATAACGACGTTGTGGTGAAGCTTTTTAAAAAAGGATCTTTATCTTTTGCTCAAGCGTTTACACACAGAATGAGACGACAATTGTGATTTCCATCCAGATAACTGGGGGCCGCGGGAGTGGGGACAGAGGAAAAGTTAGCCAGGTCATGGCATGCAACCCACTGATGCCGGGGATGGGCACGTGGAAGATCACTGCTCTATTTTTTTTTGAAATGTTCTGTCATAAAAAGTGTTGAAAAAGGGACAGATGGGTGGCTCAGTCAGTTAAGCGTCCGACTTCAGCTCAGGTCATGATCTCACGGTTCGTGGGTTCAAACCCTGAATCAGGCTCTGTGCTGACAGCTCAGAGCCTGGAGCCTGCTTTAGATTCTGCGTCTCTCTCTGCCCCTCCCCCGCTTGTGCTTGGTCTCTCTCTCTCTCTCTCTCTCTCAAATAAACATTATGGGGTGCCTGGGTGGCTCAGTCGGTTAGGTGTCCGACTTTGGTCATGATCTCACAGTCAGTGAGTTCGAGCCCCGCATCGGCTTCTGTGCTGAGAGCTCAGAGCCTGGAGCCTGCTTCTGATTCTGTATCTCCCTCTCTCTGCTCCTCTCCTGCTTGTGCACTCTCTCAAAAATGAATAAGTGTTAAAAAAAAAAAAAAAAAAAAGGAGCTACGCTCGTCCCTGAAAGGTTGGAAAACACAGAAAAGGAAGAAGGGGAAAAAAGGATCCTATGATCTTACCACCCCCAGAGGCTATCACAAACAGAAGTCTTGTTTCTACTGTAATTAATCAAGTAGTCCATGTTTATCACAAACCTGAGTTTTAAAGAAAAAAGGCAGGCTGGAAAAAAGGGGGTAAGAGCGCGTAGGGAGCTGTGTATGGGCCTTTTTCAGCGTGGCTCACACGTAGCATCTACGTCAAATTCCAAATCTGGTGGCATAAAGAACCAGTCACGTGCAAATCATACCCACCCGTGAAACCAGAGAACGGTCCCCATGTCCCCAAGGCGAGGGGACACTCCATCTCAGAAAACCGCGTGAGGTCAATGCCATTGCTTTCCCTGCAGGCGCTGCAAATCCCTTCAGATCCTTATGAGTTCATTCACCAGACACAGCTCGGGTCCATGCACCCACTGCCCGCCAGTTCCCGTGCCTGGTCTCCAGTGGGAGAGAACAACTCCTGGCCCGGCTGTCGGGGAGGAAGGCGGGCATTGGGGCTCAGAAGGCTGCGTGGAGCCCAGCAAGGCACATGCAAAGTTGTAACGGACTCGGGCTTCCCTCCCCCAGCACAGCGCAGCCGCAGGCAAGGTCACCTCTCAGTGGGTCACAAGGAGCTGTTTTCCTGTCCATTATTCAACACTATGGATGTTATGGGAAGATGTCCTTGTAGTAGTAAATGGGGATACACCCCAGGATTCCTCTTAGCCACAAGCGGTCTTGAGTAGGAAAGAAGAGTGAGGAAAACACGGCGGAAGCTGTCCCTGGGATGGGAGGTGCGTGTGACGTCCCCCCGCTCAGATGTCCCCCTTCAGGAAACGGTGTGCATACCACCGCAACATGAAAAAAATTAAAAAGGCCCCAAGGCTCACGCATCTGCACTCCATGACATCCAAGCATAGCCTAATCAACACAATGCCAACATGACAGGAATCTTAAATTTACGGTAAAGAAACCCACAGCTTCAAATACTAAAAAAACATTTTAATGCTTAGTTATTTTTGAGAGAGACAGAAACAGAGAGAGAGCAGGGGAAGGGCAGAGAGAGGGAGACACATAATGGGAAGCAGGCTCCATGCTCTGAGTTGTCAGCATAGAGCCCAACACAGGGTATGAACTCACAGACCACAACATCATGACTTGAGCCAAAGTCGGATGCTTAACCAGTGGAGCCACTCAGGCGCTCCCATAGGTTCCAACATTAATGGCGAAACCATGTACCCACCTGAGAGAAAACAGACATTCATTCTCACCTTTCTTTAAAAGTCAGTAATGGATTTCCGATTTTGGGAGTGACAAAAACGTACACATTTTTCAACTTCCTTGCACTGAATTCATTAAACTCTACTGACTATTGTCCGTGGGAGAGGGCAGAGAGCCTGGCTCTAGAAGTCTACAACAGCCCATCCCACAGGCGGGACTACTTAGGTTTACGCTCTGTAAAATAGGAAAAAAACGTAAACCCGCTCAAATTGCCAAACACGTCAGTCCACAGGCTTTGCCAGTTTTCAGAACCCAGCAGGGGAGGGGAGACACCGACCGCCACTTGCTGTTTCCCCTTTTGCCCGTTTGTTCTGTTCCTGTGAATCTGACATCACTGCCTACGTGGAGATGGCTCTGAAGCCCGGCTCGGGTCAAGCCCAGGCACAGCGGGCCGGTCGCCCACAGGCACGGCGCTCCAGACGTGCCCATGAGGAGGCAGGGGCTTTGAGCGCAGACCCGAGACACACCACAGACACCCACCACACGTTCCGAACAACAGACCGGGGACTGGACTGATCTGAGGACTCGGGGCGGGGCGGGGGGCTCACACTCCATCCCTTTGAGTTGGAGAAAGCACCCAGGTACTCAGAATTCAGCAAGCAGGGCCCTAATCAGGAGTGTAGCTATTCAACAGTGGGGCAGGGAGCTCTGAAAATCAGACTTCAGTAGTGGAGGTGCATTAGCACAAATAGGCCTCTAAGAGCCCCAGGGCAGGGAGGGGAAGGCGCTGTTCTGCTGTCACTTTCTCAGGCCCTGAAAGGTCCTGAATGGCCCGGAACAGAGAGAACGTGCAGATTAGGGAAAAGAGAACAAAGTGGTAACAAACATAGGACAGGATGACTCTGTGACTCTCCAAGCCCTGATTTTACCGAAATACCGTACCTTTCACGTTTGTAAAATAGAGGTCTGTTCTCTCGCTCACGCCCTGAGTGAGTCACTACTGGGTTTGCACTGGGAAACTGTTCAGTACAATATTTACAAACCAGCACGCCAAGACCCTGGGGATGGGAGAAGTTTACAGAAACAAGCTTTGGGCGCCGGGAATCACCCCAGCAAAATCCCCTGAACTCTCTCATACAAAAGAATAATGAGACCATCAGAGACGACTCTGGAACAGGAAGCCCAGTGGAGAAATATAAACACTCGTGAGGGTTAAAGGCAATTACTACACAGAAAACAGAAAGTGATCTGAAGGGGAAGCGGGGCAGTTAAACAGGCTTCTCATCAACAGACCTTGAGAAACGGGGATCACAGGGGCAGAGCCCCTGGGGGAAAAGGTGGATGTGGGGACCAGAAGACAAGGGAAAGTGAGTGAATGTCCCTAAAAGCATGCGTGTGACAGTAGCTGTGACCCCTGGGGCCTCCTTCTCCCTGCCCTGGCCCCCCTGCCCTGCTGTTTCCCCTTTGGGCCCAGGAATCCCAGGCTGTGCTACATATGCCCCCGAATCCTGGGTATCACCGCCCCAACCCAGGAGCAGAGCATTCAGGGTCACTGAGGACAGAGCACTTCCTGTCCTGTCCCTCCAGCACCAAAGTCACTGCCATTCAGACTTGGCCCCCACCGCGAGGGTGGGGAAGGCGCACCTCCCTGACCGACACCTCCTGATGCAATCCTTTTCAGGGGTGTGTTCCTGCAGGGACGACCTGGGACTCAGGCTAGGGGGGTCAGGGGTGTCCTCCGGTCCGGGCCTGCCAGAGGCAAAGGCGACCCTTCCGGTTCAGGGTAGGCGGGGGAGGGACGACCCTCGGAGCCCAAGGCCCAGGCAGGGTGGGGGTCCGGAGTGGACCTCGTGTCCAGGTTGAGCACAGATCTCGGACCTGGGTTGGAGAGCGTTCCTGAGGCCCAGGCTGGGCGGGGTCGGAGGCGTCGCCGGTGTCGGGCAGGGCGGGGTCAGGGCAAGGTTTGGGGTGACCCCAGGATCTACGTCAGTTGCGGATCCGGGGCGGTGGTCGGGAGTGACCCCGGGGCGACGATCGGCCCCGGCCCCGGGTCAGGGTGACCTCTGGGTCCAGGCCGGGCCAAAGGCCGAAGGTGACCACCAGTCGGGCCGAGGGTCCGGTGACCCCAGGGTCCAGGCCGGGCGGGGGATGGGGGGGCGCGGCACTCACTGTTTGGGCAGCTGAAGGGCGGGCGCGCCGCGCCGCTGGAAGGCCCCGTCCACGAAGACGCCGTTCTTTCCGAGGCAGCGCAGGTAGAAGTGCGGCTCCTGGAAGGTGAGCTGCAGGTGGCGCCGCGAGATGAAGCTCGACAGGCCCATGCTCAGGTCCACGGAGCCCTGCGACGAGTTGCGGCCGATAGTGACGCTGGGCTGCCGCATGAGGAACTCGAACTCGCGGCCCTCGAGGCGCGCCAGCGCGGGCCCGGGGCTCCGGCGCACCGAGGCGGCCGCCGCGGCCACCAGGGCCTCGCCCGCCGCGGCCCCCGCGCCCGAGTCCGTCGCGCCCGCCGCGCCGCCCGCGATCGCGCCCCCCGCGCCCGCGGCCCCCGGGCCCCCCGCGATCGCGCCCGGCGGCAGCGGCGGCGGCGGCGGCGGCGGAGGCGGCGGGGGCTGGGCGGGCGGCGGTGGCGACGGGGCGGCGGGCCCGGGCGCAGGGGCCGCTGGGGGCGCCGCGGCGGGGAAGGCGGCGGCGGCGGCGGCGGCGGCGCACAGCACGGGGCTGCAGGGCGCCGAGCGCAGCGCCAGCAGGGCGCGGGCCCCACTGTCCTCGCCGACTTCGGCCATGTTCGCGCAGCTCCGAGCGGCCTCCGGCGGCGGCGCGGCGGCGGGGGGCGGGGCTCCGCCGGGCGCGGGCGGGCGCGGCATCCCGGGCCGGATCGCGGCGGAGCGGAGCCGGAGGCCGCGCGCCCCGCCCGCCCGCGCTCCCGGGTGCGGTCGGGGCGGTGTCCACGCCGGCGGCGTCCCCCGCGCCCCCAGCCCCTGTGCTCGCGTGGGGTGGGGTGGATGACCTGGCGGGGATCGCTGCCTTCCCCGCGCTCCTTTCCTGGGGTCGGGTGGGGGGTACAGGGGAGGAGGGGACAAATGCTCTCCCCGTCCTGGGGTACGAGAGGTGGGGGACCGGGGTGGGGACCGCTGTCCTCGCCCAGCTCCTGTCCTTGGGTGGGGTGGGGGGATCAGGAAGGTGGGGTTTGCTGCCCTCCCCACGTCCCTCTGGGGACGTGGGGAGGGGGAAGGACCACTGCCCTCTCCCCGCCCTTGGGGTGGGAGGACGGACGAGGAGAACCCCCAAAAGTCTAGCTGGCGAGTTTAGCTCCTGGGTTACTGGGCAAAGGGACAAATGACCTCAATAGTCTCTGGGGCCCAGCCGCTCCATCTGCCTAACCAAAACTTCGATCACACTTAAGCCCCCGAAATTAAGGGTTTTCGTCCTGTAACTGAAGTTTGCCTAAAAGATGCTTGCGGTCCCGGATGTCTTGTGTTCCTTTTGGGGGTCATTTATTCACTCTACAAACAGCTAGATCATATATCCCGGGACCCAGGCTAGGCACTGGCTTCAGGAAGGCAGACACAGCCTGCCCTTCAAGCTGTTTACTGGCTCATCTGGGAGGAACATGCCTGGCCAGTGGGGCACTGGGGGTCGGACCCCTCTAGCACTAGGAAGGACCCCTACATGCCTTCCTAATCCAACCAGGTCCCCTAAGAAAGGCAGCAACATTCCCACATCTCCATCATTTAATAATTGCCGAATACTCCCCTGGCAGGGGAGATAGCATGATTGTGAAGATGGTTTTCCCAGGACTAGGCTTCATCCACTGCAGATGTGCTTCAGCACTCCAGATGTGCTGACCCCTGTGATGTCCCCAGATGTGGGAATCCCCACTGCATAATTTGGGTCGTGGGGGAGAAAAAAAAAATAATGGTCAAGTGTGAGAACATAGACCCTCCCTGGTGGAGCTAACAGCTCAGTGGGAGACGCAGACATGGGTCAAATGCATATAGTAATAAATATAAAATCACCACCATTGAAAGTCCTGTGAGGCATTGCTGGGTGGTGACATGAGGGTGTGCAGGGAGAGGGGCCTCCCCCAGGGTGAGAAGCTGGCCTGTTTACTCACTTTCTAGACTGGACCTGCAGGACATGTTAAACCAATTATCACCTGAGCAAGTACATAGATGCAAATGGAGATTAGGAACGTTTTGGGGAGGGGGGAGTAACACATTTTTATGAAAAGCTGTCACAAGAAAACATAATTGGCAGATGGAAGAGGACAGTATAAACTAGGTCAGGGATCTCTCCCCTAAGGAATGACACTTGATCTGAAGTCCAAGGATGATTTGGGGGGTGGGGGTGGGGAGTCTGGGGGAGGGCATTCTAGCCAAGGAACAGCATATGTTAAGGGAGGGAGTGTGGCACCTTCGAGGGATAGGCAGGTCACTGGGGATAGAAGAGCGAGTGACCACATCAGCTGAGCCCACTTAGGCAAAAAAGCCTAAAGGGCCATGTTGGGTCATGTCAAGGTTTAGGTTTTATCCCACCAGCCCTGGAAACCACAGTGGAAGGGCAGCATGTGGACCCACGTATTTGAAATAGCATCACTGGCTGTTTTTCTGGAGCCCAAATCAGAAAGGGGCCAGTGACTGTGGGAGGCCAGTAAGGAAGCTGGTAGCTCAGGCAAGGGGGGGAGGGGAGGTATTGAAGGAAGGAGGTGGATTTGGGGGATTTGGGCAATATTTATCTGATACAAAGACACTTACATACACACTGGTTGTGAGAAGGTGAAATGGTGCAGCCACTATAGGAAACACCACGGCCGTCCCAGAAAACATTAAACATAAAATGACCATATGATCCAGCAATTTGATTTCAGGGCATGAACCCCCAAGAATTGAATGCAGGGTCTTGAAAAGGTGTTTGTACATCCATGTTCGTAGCAGAATTATTTACAATCGCCAAAAGGTAGGAGCCAAAGGTCCACCCACATTGGTGGAGCATGTAGCCAATCGAATATCGGTCACTGAGCCTGAAAAACAAAGGGGAGGTGGTGCCTGAGGAGCTCAGGTCATGGTCTCGTGGTTAGTGCATTCGAGCCCCGCATTGGGCTCTGTGCTGACAGCTCAGAGCCTGGAGCCGGCTTTGGATTCTGTGTCTCCCCCTCTGCCCCTCCCCCACTCGCAGTCTGACTCTCTCTGTCTCAAAACTAAATAAACATTTTATAAGATGAGAATCTGAACACTGTCTCCCTCTCTCTCTGCCCCTCCCCTTCTCATGCACACATACACACACACTCTCTCTCAAAAATAAACATTAAAATTTTCTCCCAATTTATTTATTTTTTTTTTAAAAAGAAGAAAATTCTGACAACTGCTACCCCATGGATGAATCTTTAGGATACTCTGCTAAGAGAAATCAGTTGGTCACAAAAAGACAAATGTTGTATAATTCTCCTTATATGAGGTCCCCAGGGTTTTCAAGTTCTTAGATATAGACCATAGAAGCGTGAGTGCCAGGGGCTGGGAGGGGGCAGGGAGAGGTAATGGGGACAGAGTTTCAGTTTTGCAAGAGAAAGAAGTTTTGAACATGGAGGGCAGTGATGCCTGCACAGTAATGGGAATGAACTCAGTGCTACCGAACCATGTACTTACAGTGGTTAAGATGATAAAATTCTTTTTCTTCTTTCTTTTTTTTAAAAATGTTTTTCATTTATTTCTGAGAGAGAGAGAGACACAGCGTGAGCAAGGGAGGGGCAGAGAGAAAGAGGGAGACACAGAATCTGCAACTAGCTCCAGGCTCTGAGCTGTCAGCACACAGCCCGACGTGGAGCTCAAACCCACAAACCGTGAGATCATGACCTGAGCAGAAGTCAGATGCTTAACCAACTGAGCCACCCAGGCGCCCCTAAGATGATAAAATTCATGCACTGTATTTTAGCTCGATTTTTTTTAAAGAGAGAGATTTACATACAACTTCCAAGATTCTTTCTTCTGGGTCATCTGAGGTGGCTTCTCGCTTTTTGATGCCAGGTCTCTTTGATGACAAGAGGTATGTTATGAATTTCCAGGACCCTCTGGCTGAACTTAATATCAAATTAAGTGAAGGCTTAGGCCCGGACTGACAGAGCTCTAAGAATTATTTTCTGAGGAGCAAGAACACGCGGGGTGAGAACACCAGCAGCTCACGGGGCTGCCTCACAGTGACCTTGCCACGTCCAGACACCCACTCCATTCCTTCCTCCAACAGCAAGCCACAGGATATACTGACAGCTTCAACAGACAGCGCAAGCAAAAGGCCAGTAAAAGACCATGGAAGAACCAAAATACAGGACGCTGACTTTTCACACTCTGTCCAGGTCTACAGGGCAGTGGGAACCTGCCTCGCACAGCAGGCACTCGGAAAAGGAGCAATAAACAGCTCGCAAGGGCAAACTTTGTCAACCTTTCAGATCTTATGGCACCCCTGGGGCACGTGGGTGGCTCAGTAGGTTGAGTGATCGACTTTGGCTCAGGTCATGATCTCGCGGTTTGTGGGTTCTAGCCCCGCGTCGGGCTCTGTGCTGACAGCTCAGAGCCTGGAGCCTGCTTCAGATTCTGTGTCTCCCTCTCTCTCTGACCTTCCCCTGCTTGCGCTCTCTCTCTCTCTCTCTCTCTCTGAAATAAACAAAAACATTAAAAAAAAAAAGATCTTATGGCACCCCGGCTCTCACCCTGATAAAAGCTTCTGGAGCTGGTTGCAGAAACAAAAAGGAATAGAACTAATACCAAGACACGAAGCCATCGACAAGAGAAGTAGGCTTTATTGGGAGGTGACAATCAAGACTGTGTTAAAAAGAGGCCGTGAACAGGGGCGCCTGGGTGGCCCGGTCGGTTATGTGGCCGACTCGGGCTCAGGTCATGATCTCACGGTTCGCCCCAATGATCCCAATGCACCCCCACTGGGGAGCGGATTCACAAACTGCCGTACAGCCACGTGATGTAATACAGTGTGATGACGAGAAAGAGCTAAGTAGAACACGGATGGACCCCAAAATGCACTGGGCAGGCTTTCATTTGTAGGACGTTCCGGGTAAAGGAAAACTATAGAGACAGAAATGGTTGAGCAGTTCCCAGGGGCCGGAGGTCTGCAGAGAGGCCGACCCAAAACGACATGTGGGAATTTGGGGGTCAGGGGAGGGGATGATTGTGGTGGCAATTGTGTGACTGTGTATCTGTCAAAAGCAGCAAAACTGCGCACTAAAAAGCACAAATTTTCGGGGCACCTGGGTGGCTTGGTGTCGGTTAAGCGTCTGACTTCAACTCAGATTATGATCTCACCGTCCGTGGGTTCAAGCCTCTCATCAGGCTCTGTGCTGACAGCTCAGAGCCTGGAGCTGCTTCGGATTCTCTGTCTCCCTCATTCTCTGCCCCTCCTCCACTCATGCTCTGTTTCTCTTCATCTCTTAAAAATGAATAAACATTTAAAAAATTTAAAAAGCAAAATTTCCTCCACATAAATAGTACTTTAATTTACGAATTTAAAAAAATATATATACGACCCTGCAGAGCCTGTGTTACAGACCCCAGACGTGGGTAGGAGCCATGCTGTCCAGTTCAGAAGCCACCAGCCACAGCTGGCTACTTGCATGTATGTTCTAATTAAAATGCAGTAAAGTGAAGCGTTCCATTCCTCAGTGGCATGAGCCACGTTCCAAGTGCTGGAGGTGCAGGTCTGCTTGGCTATGGCCCTGATCACTGCAGATAAAGTACATTCCTGTCATTGCAGAAAGTTGGACCGGCCCAGAGGCCTCGGGTGGGGTGTG